ATATATATATATATAATTTATTCTAAACATACAAGTCTATTGTTGTACACAATTTAAAACTGTAAACATTTTAAAAATAGGATTATATTTTTTGAGATAAAATGTAATGACGGAACAATGAGTAATTGAATTGCATTCAGAGAGTGTGCAATTGAACTCGAGCACGTGAGACGTTTGTTATATCGCGACTGTTCAAATTAAGTGTATCGTAAAGTTGTATTCGGAAAGAATAAACCAGTTTTATTTAAGAAAGGACTTGTGTCGCTAAAGTTTCATCGGAACGAATTTACGGAAAATTAACTAACGACTGGAGGCGTAACATTAGAATTATGCCAGGACGAGTGGTTGACTGGAACTAAGTTCACTAGTGATACTGAGATATATTTTATACCGTGATACTGTTGGAGCTACTGACTGACTTGAAGTTTTCCAGCTTACAACATTTTTCTAGGGCAAACAACTAAAACATTAGTAAAAGAACAATGTTGTATCTATTTTTAACTGAGAAATGTGAGTATAGATTTCATCTTTATAGTTTGTATGATATAAGAAAAAAATATTATAGTTTTTTACTCTAAAGATTTGTAAAAATACCACATTTAAAGAGAATTACAGATTATAAAAAACTCAAACCTTGACCGTCCAATAGGGAAAAATCCAAATGGCGGTTCTTCCCAACCTCCTGACCACTCAGTTTGTGTTGTTCCATCACATTGCATGACGTAATCAACTATTCCATCTACATTTTCTGAAGCCATGTTGGGCTTAGCGGATTCTTGACGAAACACTTCTAAAACGATTGGTTCTTGAGTTTTGCAAAATGCGTTAACTGCTTCTTCGACATTACCACACGACAGGTCCTGTCCGTTTACCTAGTTAAATGTTCAGGAATAGAAAATGATATTAAATACCTAGCCCTAATCTTTTAGTATACATATTTCAAAATGTCGAACCATAGAAACTGGCGTAAATATGAATTGTATTAACTGAAAAATAATGTTAATTTTTCTAATGAACAAGATTTAAAGAACTGAAAAAAAAAATCATTCAAACACAGTTTTAAATGTCCTTCTTGAGAACGTAGTATTAAGAAGGTCGTACTTTTAAGAACATCAATACGCCAAATAAAATAAGTTTAGAGAAATACGTGATAAACAATGCTTATAAAATCGTAGTTTTAAGAACATCAATACGCGAAATAAAATAGGTTTAAAGAGATACGTGGTAAATAGTGCTGATAAGCTCGTACTTTAAGAACATCAATAAAATATATTTAGGGTGATATTCTAGACATATTTGAACTAGGATTAGTTCGTTCTAATAAGCCAATATTATCTGCTTGCCAAAAACAAAAAATAACTGCAGTATAATAGCTTGTTAGAAGAGAAAGAAGTGCCTACCTGGAAAATTGATGTAAAAAAACAAAACAAAATATTAATGTTACGAGTACAATACTTATAATTAGAAGGAAAATTAATAAACAAAAAATATTGGTAGTAAAGCATGATTTCACTCATTTTTGTTAGGCCTAAAAATCCTTATTACTTCGCCTGCTTAGGCACTTGATATCGCTTCAATAATAACGCAGATCCTGAATAAAAAAACGAACTAGTTAGATCACGATAACATTGAACGTTTTCTACTGTTTAACAATCAGCCATGATACAAAAAAAGGC